ATATGGTAATTGTTGGGGATTTGTATAGCACATAATACATTGTCGCTATGCGCTGACATTACACAAAACAAAAGCCTAGGACTACCAAGGAGCTCGGAAATCAATAGAACAGACCACTGCAGAGGAACTATCACCATTGCATCGCTTTAATTTAAGACCACTGACAAGCAGTGGTTTGCAAGACCATGATGGCATCTGGACTAGCCTATTTTATGAACAAAAAAGGAAGTAAAAAAAAGATGGGTTTAAGTCTTTGTAAGTCAATGTAAATAATAATAATAATATAATAAAAATATATTATATATATACAGTATTTATATATAAATACATCGCATTTTTTGCGGATATGAAGGCATAATTCATAAAAATTGACCACAAAGTACATTTCAATGTTATTATTTTTTGTAATTATGTATTGCCATGGATGTACACGTCCCCTGGAAGAGTTACCATGGAGAAATACAACGCTTACGCATGCGCAGTGTGCTCCCGAAGTAAACGTAAACAGTTTTTATGGTGTAGGCTACACGGTACCTAGTTCGGGCTGTAAAGAGAGGATGTTTTCAGGAGTTGTAATGGTTATTTTGTTATGAATCGTTTAAAAAGTTGAATAGATTCGCTGCTTCATTGGTAATTAATATTACTAGGCTGTATGCATTATGAAGTATTGGAATGAAGCGTGCTACATGGCCTAGGCTATCCTATCCTAGCTTGGGGCCTACTCTAATACTATACTAGGCCTAATATACTAGGCTAGGCTAGCTAGGTACTCAGGAACTCTAGTTTGTACAAAGCCTAGCTAGGTAGGCACAGGCAGGCCTAGGCCATACATGTCATCATAGGCCTAGCCGCTACCCTAATCCTGCCTACAGTACCTAGAGTAGTAAGCCTAGAATGAATACACCGAAGCCTAAAAAACTACCTATAGCCTAGCCTTACCTACAACCTAGGCCTAGGTAGGCTTAGCTAGCCTATAGTACATACAGGGCTGGCGGAACGTTTTTCAACTTGTGTGGGGCCCACTAGGCCTAGCATTTCTTTCTGATCATACAAAAATCTGCATAGATATTATATATTTTTTGCCAAAAAGTGGGGGGTGGGGGCCCGGTTCCACCGGTCATGAATGGTCAAGCAGTTATGGCAGGGGCACCGCAACCTACGGCCATCATCTCATAATATCGGCGCTGGTTTGAACGGCACGCTCGCCTATGGTTCTGGTGGTGAAACAACAAGTCTTCTCTGATAAGGAATAGGCCTATAAACTGTAGGCCCAGTGTACACAATTTGCTCGTGCACTTTAAAGAACCCAGTACATCTTTTGAGATGAGTTGAGCGCTTACGGACCATTGGGTCCTTTGCAGGATATACCTACGTAAATGTAAATTGGCTATCGGGTGAATTGATTGTTGGCAAATTGGCTGTCAGAAGATTGGCTGTCAGCAAATTAGCTTTATGATAGGCAAATTTCTGTCAGGTAAATCTCCTTTCGGCAAAATTTCCTGTCAGCCCAAAGATGTGTCAGCAAAAATGACATGTCAACAAAAAGATGTTTTGGCAAAAGTCCATTTGGACAGTGTTGCCGAAAAGTCATTGGTGAACTGGCAGGCGGCAAAATTACCTAATACTATTTTTTTAGAACAAAAAAATGATTGTATGGCCTGCTTAGCCTAGGCCTAAGTAAAAAGTTAAACATGGTGTTCCTCTTCACATGTCATATTTGAAAATTTGACATGGTTGTAATCTAATTTTGTCTTTACTTTCTCTCTATTTTATTTTTAGTAGGGCCTACAGGTCCTAAGTGAACCCTATTAAGATTAAGAATGGAAATTGAGCACAAACTTGGGGATTTTATACCTGGTGAGCCTCTCCCAGCTAGATCAGAACATGGAAGCATTGAAAGTGTTTTGAGTGACAACAGAAGTGTGCACATCATTGATGATATTCCCGAGAAAAAACGAATCGAAGATGAATTGAATGAACGAGTGGAAACACTTTTGTTAGAGAAAGTTGATACCGGCGACAAACTTGCGATATTCCAGCTAGCACAGTTCTACTTTGAACAGGTAGTGAAGATATTTCATCTTGTGATTTCAACATTTCAAGTTGATTAGGATTTTATAAAACTGCAGATATCAATATGTAGTCTTATATTACTACTTAAGCATACATTTTTTGCTAAGGAAATCTTCACTATTAACTACTCAAAAACTCTTAATACAAAAATGTCTAATGACCCCAAAAATTTGAAGCTGATTTTGGCCAGCCTCTAACTTTGGAATGACTGATATACAGTACATGGATACAATGTTATCACAAAATTGGATTTGTGTATACCTTCCTCCTCCCCTTCGCGTTCGAAAACTTTATTTTAGTTTTGTGGCTAAAAAGCGCCTTGACATTTTTTGACTCTGGAAGGCGCTATAAAAATATTTGACCATTTACTTTTTAATGTTTTGTTGTTTTTTGTTAAGGAGGACTACAAACGTGCCTTGATATATTTTGAGAGAATAAAGGACACCGATCCACAAGCACAGTTTCAGCTTGGTGTCATGTACCATGATGGTCTAGGAACAAGTGCAGATCACGTAAGTTAACAAATGTTGGTCAGATATCGGCTTTGGCAATTGTTGTTTAAAATTATTAGTAATAGTTATAATGCTGAAGGGAATGTTATGCAATTGTCAATTGTAGTCCTGGCCCCCCCCCCCCCGGACCTGGGTCATAGTGGGGCACTAGCCGGGAACTGAGCCTGGGACGTACACATAGTTGTGTCCCCATACGTAGTGCCGGGACGTACCTAAAATTCACCCATAGATGTAACAAGCCTTGAAAAGGCCGGAAATATTACACAGTAGATTATAGCCAGGTTTTCGGGTGTAGTGCTGTCAACGCGAATCTAGTCCTACTACCTAAGCCTAGCCTACACTATAGGCATTCAGCAATTGCTGTGTTTTGGTAATTAAAAAGTCGCCTACCGGTACTCAAGGCTTACCATCATGGTTTTATTTTATATAGATCATGGTATAAATTAGGCCAAAAAAAAATTGTTGTGTTGCCCTTAAATGGAAAAAATCGAGATCGTCGGTCGGTCAAATTTTTTTTTTTCATTCAAGCAACCACTAGTTGTACAATAGTAAAGAATAGGCTAGGCCTATATCTGGTCGTTGCTTGACAGCTCAGCGCGAGAGGTCCGATTTTGCATGCATACATCGTTGTCGCGGTCAGTTCTCAAAATTATGCCTTCTACAGTATTTTACCGATTTTACTCGTGCATCTGTGGCCAGATTTTGGTACATATCTTTTTTAGATTTTGTGTTCTAAATGTTAATTTCGAAAGTGGAATTTCTCGAATGTGTACTTGAGTGAAAGGAAGACCATTGAACAAAATTTTAGAAAAAAAAAAATGCCTATCCGATTTTATAGAAAATTTCAGTCGGTTTCGGAGGGCAACACAACAGTGGTTTTTTTTTTTTTTGGCCTTGCATAATAAAATCCAAACATCCAACCACACAACAAGGACTGAGGCAACGAGTATTGTACGTGAAAACTTGTGATCCGTGTATTTGGCATTTGACCTACAGTAGTTTGCGTCAAAAAATACACCAGTGAGCCAAGGCAAGGAAATCTGTTTCTACAACATGTATTAATTCTCTTATTTAATTTCTATTTTGATACTGAATAAATTCTATCAATCAGTACTAAATCAATCAATTAATTTTTTTTTCTATGATCAATCAATACACTCCTTTTTTTTGCACTTTCCAAACTTCCATGTAAATCTGCCTATTGATACGCATGTGTAGTGCTTCCATCAAGCAATCCCCATCTAAGTCCCCGCTAGCCCCCTGTCCGTTGAGCCAGGACTAAAATTAACAAGTGCATTAGTTACAACTAGTTGTTTATTACATATTCAGCACAACAATTACAAATCAGAAAATGGCCTGAGGGTTGCCAAAAGGACACTATGGGCTGAGACCCCAACACAAGATGTGGGTATCCTCTAAACCCCCTGGCCAAATAATGCTAATAGTATGGAAATAACCCGAAAAAAAAGCCAGGTAATTAAAAACAACCTAATAGAGATTGAGTTTTTTTATCCTTTGAATCATACTATTCTGGCAGCTTCATTTATGAAGGGGCAAGTAACTTGAAGAATTTCCATACTACATTGAATTATTGTTTTAACATTGCATGTTCTGAAATTTGTTCTCACTTGTTTTTTATTGCTACAAACAACAGAAGAGAGGCTATGAATTTATGCTACAGGTAGCAAACAACTTACACCCCAGCAACCAGCACTTGATACACGCTGCTCAATACAACATTGGAAGAGCACACTTCGAAGGATGCGGAGTGAAGCAGTCGGATGAGGAGGCGGAGAAGTGGTGGTTATTGGCAGCAAATGACGGTCATCCCAAGGCAAGCATCAAGGCACAAACTGCACTCGGAATGTACTACTGCCGGGAAGAGTCTCTAGATCTAAAAAAGGTACAAATAGCTTTAAACATGTTTTGTCTCGCATTATTAATGTTCATCTTTGAATTTTATCTTACAAGGTACAAAATCATGAGATTTTTGTTGTAATTTAAAATTTCATTTACTTTTTATCTGTTCAGTATAACGGTGAAAAAAATGTTTAGACGATAGCACGGTGTAGACATTGGCAGCACCAGCTGTGGGGCAGGTAGCTTAGTCCCTCTACAGGTCATTCTAAACTCCCATTAGCCATGATCTGGACCCTGATAAAATTTCATTAATATTGTGAAAGTTTTCATGCGTTCTAAAATGTTTTATAACAATGAATTAATATTGAATTAGAAATTAAGCAGCAGGAAAAACAGCTGTCTAGGTCCCTACCAGGGCTTTTCCCGACCTTGGTAGCCCAATGAATTCACACCCACAGCCGACACCTTTACCTCCTGAACATATTCAAGTTACCAAGAGTGATCCTGAGCACAACGATGGGCAACTCTATAATGTTTTATGGGAATTCTGATTAGGCAACTGTGCAGTTTATTCTGATTTTAATAGTTGCAGTTTGGGTAAAGATACTGCTCACCATACTTCTTTACATTTCTGTAGGCTCTATTCTGGCACTCTGAAGCAACTGGCAATGGAAGTTTAGAATCACAAGGTATACAGCCAAAATATAATTTTCTCTTAATTATTGATGAATATGTCCAATAGGATTATCAGTGCATTATACCTGTACAGCTTATTCAGATTATGACAATTATTTTTATCAGTTGTCAAATTTGAAAACTGTATTTTTTTTCTAATAATTGTATAAGCATACTATATATTTATACTTATTGGGCCCGTTCAGACGAGTAAAGTTTTACCAGGTAATTCCAACTGAGAGGCCACGTGTGGCATTAAATTTTGCCTCTAGCCATAAAAAATTTGAAAAACATCTGTCCCAAAAACCCACATTTTTTAGTGGATATTTCAATTACACGCTGCCTCCAGGCGTATTTATCACATGTAACAAGGCCCATGTCCTTTATATTTGTATACAACACCAGGCCAGAGTAAAATTCCTATCGTTCAATTCCGTTCCCATTTTCTCATAATATTTAAATAATAATAATATTTAAAAGCATTAAAAAAGTTTGACAGTAAGAACTTTAGCAAAAGTTAAGTGAGTATTACTTCTTTAAAAACAAATTTAAAAATTATAATTAGATGTAATTTGTATTTCAATACCAGAAAAATAATTTTATACCTACTTTTAAATTACTTTTGTTACAACAACTTTACGAGTTGTTTTACAGTCAACAACAACATGCCGTTTTCTAGCGGCGGACATGTGCCGAATGTAACAAAGTTGTGTTATCACGGTGAAGAAATCACTTGAAGCTCCAAATGAAGTTACAAAGGCTAGATTATGTATAGTTTTAAACAGTAACAACAAAAAACTTGTGTCTGACCTTGGTTGAAGGAAAGACATACAAGAAGTTACTGCTTTTACCGGTTTTTATTCTACTCGTCCGAACGGCCGTCGGAATTAGCCCCAAGGCTATTATTAGATTACACGTGTATTTGAGTTTACGTCCGAACACGGCCATTGTTAAGCTAACATTTTCTTTGTCTATCAACACAGGAGCCCTCGGTGTGATGTACGAGTTGGGACAAGGGTGTCGTAAGAACTCTGATTCAGCGTTTGAATGCCTGAAGGAAGCATCTGAACGAGGCAACGTGTATGCAATGGGCAACTTGGCCTCACATTACTACTCTAAGAAGCTGTATACAAAAGCTGCTGAGACTGCTGCCAGGTAAGGCTGTTCTTGTTTTTTCTCTGTTCTTTAAATCTCCTGCATCATTGTGTCTTCTTTTTTTCTTTTTGTTACTTTTCTTTTCTTTAATTAAACATGGCACTTGGAAAGCTTGTTCATTTGCGCCTTATAAATCGACTTATTGTTGTTGTCATCGTCGTCGTCAATAATTAATAAGTCGTTTATAATAATAAGTAATAAACTTATTAAACATTATTAATTGAGGAATATTTTATATACCTAATTAATTCAAGAGAAAACTGCTATAGTCAATAGTTAAAAATACATTTCATATGTAATAAGTTGCAGAAACCGGTAATGATTTTGAGGCAAGTGTGTGTATAGTTATTGAAACACAAAGTTATGGTAGTGCATTTGTTCAGGTGAAAGATAAATTTAAATCAACAAATAATCGTTACTGGATATGGAAAATCTAAAGGGAAATAAAAAATCTGCAACCTGGCTGATGGTTTAATCATTTTCTGCTCATAAATACCATTACTGTATATTTCAATTTCAATTTATTAGAAATATTTAATAGAAAATACAAGAAATACCCCCAGGCTGGGGAAGGTAAAAATATATAACATACAATAAAACTTTACAATACAAAATTTATCAAAAGGAACTCGCATCCATTATACAAAAACCAAAGGTCGGAAATTTAAAATGCTCTACTTAAAGTTAATTAATGATTGTATGAATATCATTATTGTATAAGCAATTCTTTACACTGTCAGATTCCATGATTAACGCAATTGTGACTCTTTATATCAGCTACATTATTAAACATAACAGAAACAAAGGATACATTTCTATCGATATTTCCCTTGATTCTGTCAATGAGAGTACTTCTATAGGACATATTATTCTTTGCTTCGCATTTAAGAAGATGGCAATATAATACCCTAGAGTTGGAATCCTTAACAAGCAGTTGTGACAAGAGATCAATTTGATTAGACAATTATATACATTATGACTGTAATTAGAACACAATTTGATTATATTAATGCATTTGTTTCAGAGTATCTCAGTTTACAGATGTTGCAGGTATTTCCAAAGAGACAGATTGTTTACCGTTGTTTATAGCTAAAGGGATTGCAATAGGAAGCTTCTACTATGCCAGGTGTCTTCATCTGGGGCATGGTGTGCAGAAAGACAAGGAACTAGCCCAGAAGTATTATAGCCAGGTTTGCACAATATTTTACCTCTTGTTCCTATAATATTATATAATTTATTATAATATATTCCATATTATATGTTATAAGATAACATCATAACATTTACCAACATAATCCCGGTTGAGAGCCAGAAACAAGAAAAAAACTGCACCGTCCACTCCAACAAGCAATATAGTCTACCACTAATATAATAATTTATTTATTATATGATATTGTATTTTATTAGATTATTTTGTATTGTATATTATATATTTATCATATATTATATGCATTTTTCATATATCAGCATATGTATTTTAAAATAATA